GTTCAAATATTAGTCATTGTAAATAATTTCCCATTGGGATCTTATTTCCCTCTCAAGTTTCAGTTTCAAGCACTGACCGCTAAGACTGGCATATCTCCAGCCATATACATTTGCAAAAAGCCAGATTTGCAATGCAGTGTGTCATGGAGCTCATGCTTGTTGAAGGGAATCTTCAATGGACTGGACACATTCATTTTAGTAGGAGGCAGAGGTGGCCTAACAGCAAACTCTATGTTCAGAATCTAATTTTCATAGCCTTCAAGGATGAATGCAACATAAACTATGTAGTAGACTGTGATCACCATTCCAAGTGCGGAGGCAAGTATTTGTACGTGCTATCATCTATAAGGCACCAAATAATGCATATGTCACCACTAAAATGGTCCTCTTCCAGGAGCTATTTGGGTAAAGAACCTACAATTCCCATTGCCACCTATGTGTGTATGTACAAACATATAAATTAGTCCAAATTCTAATTTTGTCTCATTTTTCTTTGCGGAAAAACAGGCAAGATCAGTAAAGGAAGATATGAGCAATTAATGTTACAGTTCTTCAATATACTAATTTAAATTAAATGTACTAAAAAGCAAAAACTATTAAGTAGTATTGAGACTATAGTGACGAAGCTTTTATATATATATTTTCATTTTTGTGCATAAAATCTTAATACGTAGAATTATGTCATCAGGCATTAACAATCACTTACCTTACAAACCAACTATTCTGTTCTAGGCCTAACAGGATTTGTATTGATGTATTGGCCTTGCACTGTGCCGTGCTAAATGCTTAAAAAATATTTGTCTAATCACTATTAGACATTTAAAAAAATATTAAAGCCAGGAACAGTGGCTCATGCCTGTAATCTTAGCTCTTTGAGAGTCCAAGGCAGGAGGATCACTTGAGCCCAGGAGTTTGAGACCAGCAGGGAACATAGGGAGAAACTGACCCTACAAAAAATTAAAAATTAGCCAGGCATAGTGGTATGCACTTCTGGTCCCAGCCACCTGGAGGATGAGGCACGAAGATTGCTTGATCCTCCTAGGATGTCAGGGCTTCAGGGAGCTGTGATCACAGCACTGCATTCTAGCCTGGGCAACAGTGAAACCCTGTCCATAAAAAGAAAAATATTTCAGTTGATTGATTTTTATTTCTGTGCTAATTGTTTAGAACCAAGAAAATAGAGCACCTTAAATTCTGTAAGTAAAGAGGAAAACATCTTTAATGTTGTGGGAAATTAGGAATTAAGTAACTGCCCTTAATGCTGGTAATATGTTGAGTGAATTGACTTGTTAAAAGAAAGATAGAATAGGTTTTTATTTGGGCCGAAGACAAACTGGAATTGTATCCTCTGAAAGGATAAGTTACCTTGTGGCAGGGATACAAACCAAGGTGACAACTCTATGGAATGTTCTAGAGCAGTTGTTCCAAGTCCCTTTAAGAGTCAAATATACTGAGAAATGCTTCCCAAGCAACAGGACTTACTCTACAGTGAATAGACAGGTATTTTCTTGTCTAAGAGAACTGCGGCTGACTTTTACAAACCAGTTCTCTGCTCCTCCAGATTAGATGACCTGTTATGACCTTTACAGTCCCCTTGTCCCCCCTTTCTCATTTGTGCTGAGAACACAGCTCTCAGCAGAGTCTACCTGGAGAAACAGTGGCATCTCTGTCATCAAAGGCTGCTCAGCACACATGCTTGTGCAGTGGTGTACATCGCACAGGCTGACAGTAATCATGGGAACATGTATGTTCCCAGCCATTGCTGATGTAACAGAGAGCTAGTTGTCTAGTTGTCTTCAGTTTACCTTGAAGGTGACTTCAGAACCTAGCTCTTCTAGTTCTCAGACGTAAGGCTGTAGTCAAATGCAGAGAACTCTCCTTCCAAAATTATGTAATTTTTACTTGTTCTGAGCCTGACTTTTTACATGTGATCTGATTTCACATGGCTCTGGCACAAGTTTTCTTGACAGAGGAGGGAGGAGAGAGAGAAATCAGAAGTAGAGATAGACTGTGCATCCATTCACGCATTCCAGAAATGTTTGAGTGTCTGTTAGCACAGTGATGAACAAAGGAGCTGTGGTGAGGGAGAGACAATTTGAAAGAAGCAATAGTAGAGTGTGATTGCTATGAAGAAACAAACATGGCACAATAACCAACGGGACAGGCTTAGTCAGGGACATCATTTCCAAGGAGCTGTTACACTGAAGACTGATGACAACATAACCCAGGTAAAAGAGTGGGAGGGAGAGAGGTTCCAGGCTCAGGAAAACTAGCAAACTCTGCATACGTTTGTTAAAGGATTGCATGATACTAAACACTGAAGTTATAAATAACTCCTGTGGTTCTTACTGTCAACATGTCTCAGGGTCATTGCCCAGCTTCCTAAAACTCAAAATCAGTTTGCGAAGTGTAGTGTTATTTGAACTTAGGGGCAAATGACTAACAGAGACAAACCTAGAAGAGTAGGTTTTAATCAGTTAGCATGTTTTCCACCGTAGGTATCCAAAGACTCAACTCCATGGAGATTCGATACACAGAGTTTACTGACTTATGAAACAAGTCGGGGGTAGCGCGGTCCCATGGTAGACTAAGACAGCAGGGCCCAGGTACTCTCGGTCTTTGCAGTCTATCATCATTGGCACATATGGGTTCTCTTCTTACAGTTATGGAGTGAACACCACCGCTTCTGGCATGACATTTCTGACACAGTAAGACCCAGTGAAAGAAGAGGGGCATTTCTTCCTTCGGTTTCCTTTTAGTATGAGAGAATTTTAACTAGAGCACCTCACTACCCCCGACCTCCTCAGTCGCATTGGCCCGGGCTATCTCACATGTCTTTGGCCAAGCTAGTCACTCTCCAGGGGATTGAGACCATTTAAATTGATGTACGTTAATTACCCCCTGAGTTTGGGGAGGGAGATCACTTTCTATAAGCACAGTGAAGGGTGAACACCCAGCAAAATCAGGAAAAGTTCAGCAAGGAAACAAAGGGGCGTGGCCAAGAGGAAAGGGCAGCTGTTGGGAAGACCCAGAGCATAGGCCTCAGGAGCACACGGCATCGTGACTAAGGAGGGACGGGAACAGGGTCCTTACAGGAGCCTGAGTTTCTGCTGCAGACTTAGTGACTTCTGTTCCCAGCACTGGTGGGTGAAATGGTGAACCCAGTGTTTAGGTGCATTCCTAGCCTTACTGGTGCTTTCTACTGGATCAGTAAAGTGACATGAGGCACACACTGCCATGGCACATTTGCAGTAAAGTTTTTTGGGTTTTGTTTCTTTGGGGGAGACAGCATTTTGCTCTGTCGCCCAGGCTGGGGTGCTGTGGTGTGACCTCGGCTCACTGCAACCTCTGCCTCCCAGGTTCAAGCAATTCTTATAGCCCAGCCTCCCAAGTAGCTGGGATCACAGGTGCCCACTACCACACATGGCTAACTTTAGTATTTTTACCAGAGATGGGGTTTCACCATGTCAGCCAGGCTGGTCTCAAACTCCTGACCTCGGGATTTACCCACCTTCATCTCCCAAAGTGCTGGGATTACAGGTGTGAGGCACCATGCCTGGCCTGCAGCAAACCTTTTAAACTTAGAAATATCTTATGAAATAACATAAATAAGGAACTATATACAGTGTATATGTATAGCTTAATAAAATGAAATTCTTATCCATTTCTAGTACCTTTGAAGCCCCCATGTAACCCTCCCCAAATGCATCCACAACTCTTCCTGAGAGGTAACTGCTACCCTGAATTTCTGAGTTAATCATTCTCTTCATGGTTTTAACATGTATGTATGCTCCCCTCGGTTTCTTTCTAAAACTTTTGCATATATCACCTAGAGAACTTGTTCAAACACAGATTGCTGGGCCCCAACTCAGAATGTGTGATTCAGTAGGTCTAGAGTGATGCCAAAAATCTGCATTCCTAACAACTTCAGGTCATGCCAATGCTGCTGGTCCAGGGACCACACTTGGAGAACCGCTGCTGTAGCAGGGGACTGTTTTACTTCTGCCTGTTTATAAATAGAAGTATATTATATATATTCTTCTGTGACTTGCTTTTTTTCACCTGAACTTTGTTTTTGAAGTTCAGGTTTGTTGATATGGGTAATGATAGGTTAATTCATTTCCCATGGCTTACTATTCTATTTCTCATTAATTTTTTGTCCACTGCCCTATGAGGGAAAAGGAAGAAAAACAGGAAGCAACTTGCTTAAGGCAGCAACAGAAGTGATTCTGTATCCATCAGGCATCCAGCACCAGTGATCCCTGGCTCACACAGCTCAGGTCATTGTTGCTGCCTTTGGAAGGAGAAGTTCGGAGATACCACCTGTCCCAAGAGCCCTGGGCTTTCCAGCGGTTCAGGAGACTTTGGGACACCATGCACAGTAGGACCTGCTGACCTCCCAGAGCCCTCTTATATAAAACAGACCAAATAACATGGGCCTACCCTTACCAAATCAGGATATAAGGGGATGGAAGAGAAGGTAACAGACTTAATATTCATTTCATATGGGCTAGGCACTATTATCGAAGAATGAATGACAAAGGACCAGAAGACTGAATAAAAGTATGATAAAAATATGTTTCTTTCAACCTCCCAACATTCTTATATGGTATTTTTTAAAAACTTGCCCAAGTTCACAGACAATATGAGGTAGTTAGATTTTTAAAGTCAGGTCTACTTAGAAATCACATCATTCTTTCACTTTATGTTGCTGCCTCCCTAAGACTAAAATAAGATGCAGGCCTTCCCCATCCTTGGCCTTTACCTAACCACTAAGGCAGACTCCCCTAACGTATGTGAACTTCCTCTAAAACCTGGATCCAATTAGTGTTACCTGAACCAGCTTTCACGGTTCTTTCCATAATAGTTGGAATAGATGCAGCATAAAAAAGAGGGAGTGACATGCTGACCCCTTGCACTGTCTTTGTTGGACTTGAGTGTTTGACTTGGATTTGTATGTCTGACGACTAACTAGACTATCTTGTGCTTTTGTCCTGCAGCGGATTTCCGAAGAAGGCCAGTAGGACTGCTAGAATAGCCTCTGATGAGGAGATTCAAGGCACAAAGGATGCTGTTATTCAAGACCTAGAACGAAAACTTCGCTTCAAGGAAGACCTCCTGAACAACGGCCAGCCGGTACTGACAGATTTGGGACCTGGACTTGGAGAATTAGCTACCCACGTGCCTTTCCTCCTTTCTCTAAGACTTAGGTGCTTCATAATTGTCCACAACACGATTATTTTTGAGACGGGATCTCACTTTGTCACCCATGCTGGAGTGCAGTGGTGTGGTCACAGCTCACTGCATCCTTGACCTCCAGGCGCAAACAGTCCTCTGACCTCAGCCTCATGGGTAACTGGGACCACAGGCACATGTCACCATGCCTGGCTAGTTTTTTATTTTTTTAGACACGGAGCCTCCCTATGTTGCCTAGGCTGGTTTCAAAGTCCAGAACTCAGGCAATCCGCCCTCCTTGCCTCCAAAAGTGCCATAGACATGAGCCTCCACACCCAGCCACATTATTTCATTACCCTTCAATCTCAACATTTCTCTTAATGTAAGGATTTGAATCCAGAGACAAAACAGAAGATAAATGGCCTTCCTTCTATTCATTCTTCACTGCTTTCTCCTAGGCATGAAACCTTTCTAAGAGTGAGGAGAGTGAGTGGGAAAGAAAGGAAGAAGGAAGGGCAGATATCTGGTTGGGAGTGGAACAAATGAGCCAATGGTATTAAAGAAAAAAAAAAAAAAAAAGGAACACAGGGATTTCATTCTGGCTGACAGGATTGGGGAGGGAGGGAGAAGGTATGTTCTGGAATGGTTATATACCCAGAAACAGCAAATTGCAATTATAGTATCAAAAAGAGAATTTGTTTTCCATGATATGTACTGCTTGTACACACACAAAAAAAATCTAGAGAAATCATTGGGGAAGCTCTGTCCTTTTCTCCCAGACTGCTACTAGATACTGATTCAGTATCTGAAAGAGCAAGGACCGTTCCAAAATCTTGTTCTGGTTGGTTAGAGCAAGACAACTGAACTGTAGGAAGAAATCATTGTTTTATGGCTCCAGAACTGTAAAGGACCTAAATAGGTCTGGTAAAATATACATATAAGATGTTTTCTCCACTGGACTTAGGTGTTTCCTCATCAGTTTTTTAATCTCTTTTGTTGATGCTTTTCTTTTTAAAATATTCTTTTCTTTTTAAAATACTCTTTCCAGAATATTTTAAGGGGATGGGAAAAGCATCCCCATTAAAAGTCTAGAAAATAAGACTTAGCAGGTAAAGGAAAGGAGCCTTCTGTACCTTTTTTAAGGAATTATCACTGGAAAAATTTGCCTGGCTGTTAAGGACAAGAAAAGGATCTTTTGTATAAAATCTCCCTTTCAGACACCTTTTTCAGAGTAGAAAGCTCTCTACAATTATGTTTTCTGAGAATTTTAATTATCAAACATTGACAAATAAAACTGTGAGAACAGACCACACTTGATTAGAAAGGTGGAGAGCAGAGGAGGGGTGCCAAATGCTGACTTTAATAGGGTATCTTAATCTGATTAAGAAAAATTAAAATTTGAATGAAGGTTTGTGTTAGTTACTGATTTCACTGAATACAGAAGATTTTCACAAAAGGAAAATATTTTCTCCCTGAAATAAGTGATTACATGTGTAAATGTACATACTCTGGAAGTTTTCCCTGGCTCTGTCAACTAAAGCCTTTAAAAGATTAAAGTAAATACATATGGGAACTTTTCAAGCCAGGTAAGGCATCCCTCCAGCTTTTTTTCTTTTTGGCTATTCATGTCAATATTCCTTATAGACTAAGATTCTCTTGGTTAAGGTAAGACTTCCATAAGCTATTGGTCAACCCACGTTCCATATATTGTATGTATATTTATATTCATCTGTTTAGCGGTGAATAACAGTAAGTTCCACGGGTATCCACATTTGACAGCTTAAAATGACAGGTAAGGTTTCCCTTTGTAGAAATGGCATTCTAAACTTTGTCCTAATATTATATATTATTCTCTTATTTTTGGCATCTGTAGACAAGGGCTTTTATAGCCACATGGCATAGTGACTTAGAAACAAAACTGTGAAGTATATTTGGCTTCTAGTGGTCGCAGGTGCATTCTGGTGAAGGAATAGATATGAAATTGATATTTCTGCTTATAAGAAACAGTGGAAAACAGCCCTGCCTTTGATGCGTTACAATTCTCCATGAAAAGATTAGGAAAGCTTTTTAAGAGATCAGGTATTTAAGACTCTGAAAACCAAATTCACTGATTTTTAGTAGGTGTGAGAAAATTAATTTAATAATAGCAGTGGACTCAGATGCTTCATGCAACACTCAGACTCCTACCGCTGCCTCTTCTTGTCCTCTGCCCTTTCGTTATTAAGTGAAATAATTGAACTGCAGGACTAGTTGTCATTTGGCGCTTGACTTCTTTCACTTCCCGGTTTCAGCTGGGATTGAGACCAGCAATTACTGGAAACTGTAAATTTACCCAACATATTTTCCTGACTAGAGAGCTTCCAATCAAATTTGCATTTATATTTAGAAGTTTGGAAGCTTATCTGAAATAATTTCTGTACATTTTTTAGATTCCACCTTACCAATTATTCTCTATTTCTAATCAAACACTTGCTTATAAAATGCCCCTGATGAGACAGATGGTGTCTGAAAATTACCTCCAGACCCTTATGTCTAAGGCACTTTAGAATGAGTATTGAAGAGTAGGTATCACCCCAATGGTCAAACAAAAATGTTGGCATTTCTTATGCATAACAGTGGCGTAGCTAAAATGGTCTGAGTCAGTTCCAAAGTGCTGGCTGCAAGACAGAAGAACACTATCCCTTTCTTTGCCTGATGGGCAAGCAGTCTGCATCTGAGTCAAGTCGTGAAGTGAGGCTGTTGGCTTTGGCAAGTGTCTTGCATAATCCTCCTGCTGCTTCAGCTGTGTCCATCATTCTCTGGGGATTAAGATAGTTGCCTCCAATCTGCTACGTTACACAGCAGCCTGGAAAATGCTCTTAGAGGTGAGAACGCCAAAGCAGACAGGACCACCATTGCCGGCTCATCCAAATCTTCCTTTAGCTGACACTTACTGAGCACATACTGTTAAATAACTGATAGAATTATTTCCATTAGTGATACCTGTTCTTTTCTTTTTAGTCAGTTCATTCTCCTTTTGAGTATCTTTGTTTTTTTCTTTGTTCTGAAGCTGATGGATAGCTATAAAAATAACATTTCTTTTAAATTGTATTTTGCTGTTTAAATATCTTTTTTTCTATGTTTTTTCGTTAAGGACATGTCAAATCTTTTCTCTGTGATTTCTGCCTTGTCGCCTATTGCTCACTCTAAATTTATGCTGTTCCAGTTGGTGGCTCTTTGGATTAGGCCATTGGTACTGGAAAGGGAGGTAAAAGGTAGAACAGGTGAAACAAGAAAAAGAAACAGGCAGGTGTCTGAGGCTGGAGAGAGAACAGTTAACGGAAAATCGCTCAAGGGTGTTTTGTTTTTTACTTTTTCTTAAAGCAATATATGTTTGTGATTTTTTTCTAATTTTGTATTTTTTGTGGCTCACTTTGTTTAGAGGTTAACATATGAAGAAAGAATAGCTCGTCGACTGCTAGGTGCTGACAGTGCAACCGTCTTCAACATTCAGGAGCCAGAAGAGGAAACCGCTCATCAGGTACCATGTTGCTCTGGACTTAGAGTAACATTTATTCCCGTTTTTCCATCTTCCTTATGGACACTGTTCTTGGGATTCATTCTGTGGAGAGTAGCGGGAAAGTCACAGAAAAGCAATATTAATTTCATCAGTCAACCTCACAGCTAATTTTTATTGAACACATACTGTGTTAAGTGGCTGAGAGAATTCTTTCCATCAGTGATACCTGTTCTTTTTATCTTCTTAATTATTCTCCTTTCCACTACGTTTCCATTTTCCTGTCCTGTGTTTTATGCAAAATAATTTTGTGTGGAGAAACACGTTTTCACTGACACTGAAATAGCTAGTGAATATTTCCCATTAGAGTTGGCCCTCGAACAATGCAGGAGTTAGGGGTCCAACCCCGTGCACAGTTACAAACCCACATACAACTTTTGACTCTTCAAAAACTTAACAACTGATAGCCTCTTGTTGACTGGAAGCCTTACCGATAACGAAGAGCTGATTAACACATATTCTATATGTTTTATGTATTATAGACTGTATTCTTAAAGTAAGCTAGAGAAAAGGAAATGTTACAAAGAATGTCTTAAGAAATAGAAAATGCATTTCCAATTAAGTGGAAGTGGGTCATCATAAAGGCCTTCTTCCTCCTCATCTTAAATTAGAGTAGTCTGAAGAGAAGGAGGAAGAGGAGGAGTTCATCTTGCTTGTCTCAGGGGCTGCAGAAGAGGAAGGCAATCCACATACAAGTGGATCCATGCAGCTCAAACTTGTGTTGTTCAAAGGTCAACTGTTTATTTTTAGTAGCTAGTCAAAGTAAAACACCTATGTATAGAAAAGACAATCTCTTTATCTTTTCTCATGTGTATACAGATGCTCTTCAACTTAGTATGGGGTTATGTCCTGATGTTGAAAATATTGTAAGTTGAAAGTGCATTTAAGGCCAGGCACAGTGGCTCACGCCTGTATTCCCAGCACTTTGGGAGGCCAAGGCAGGTGGATTACCTGAGGTCAGGAGTTCGAGACCAGACTGACCAACATGGTGAAACCCTGTCTCTGCTAAAAATACAAAAATTAGCTGAGTGTAGTGACATGCGCCTGTAGTCCCAGCTACTCAGGAGGCTGAGACACGAGAATCACTTGAACCCAGGAGGCAGAGGTTGCAGTGAGCCGAGATCAGACTACTGTACTCCGCCAGAGCAAGACTCCATCTCAAAAAAAAAGTGCACTTAATACACCTAACCTACCAAACATCATAGGTTAGCCTAGCCTATATTAAACGTGCTCACAACACTTACATTAGCATATAGTTGGGCAAAACCATCTAACACAAAGCCTATCAAAAATAAAGTGTTGAATATGTGATTTCTGGAGTATTGTACTGAAAGTGAGAAACAGAATGGTTGTGTGAGTACTCACAGTACAGTTACTACCAAATGCATATTGCTTTCACACCATTATAAAGTTAAAAATATTTTTAAGATAACTACAGTTGGGGACCATCTATAGCTATAAATCACTAATCAGCAGAAGGAACTAAAAAGCTATTTTTGTTCCCCTGCTACCACCAAAAAAGGTCACTTCGTGGATTTGGTATGAGCTGCTTTATAATATCTATTGCTTCTATTCGGAGTTTGAAAATACAGTCTAAAGAGAAAAGAAAGTATTAAAACAAGTGTAAAGGGTCAAGTAAACTCATGTCTGTTGAGAAATGGGTCATCTTTCAAAATCTGAAAGTTTTGCTGTGCTCAGTATTGCTAGCACAAAGCTTTCACTTAAGGAAAATTGGAAATCTTGCTGCATTCTTGCTATTTCTGTTAATAGTCTTCACATCTCTTTTTCTACCATTACAGGACATTGGGTCTCCTCATGCTTCTGTAGGGAGTCCTCTGGATGGTCAAAAGGTTAAGCTTTTCACCTTTCTTCTCCTTTCAGTCTTTCGCTGTGTCTGTTTTCTTCTGTTCTTTCTGTTTTACATGTGTCTGTCTTTTCTGCTGTATATTAATTATAAATGCTATGGCCAGTATCTATTTCATTTAATATCAGATGTACAAAATTACCGCAACATGAGTTTTCTTGTCATGTATTTACCATCTTGAATTTATTTATTTTTTTGAGATGGAGTTTGCTCTTGTTGCCCAGGCTGAAGTGATCTCAGCTCACTGCAACCTCCACCTCCCAAGTTAAAGCAATTCTCCTGCCTTAGCCTCCCAAGTAGCTGGGATTTACAGGTGCACACTAACATGCCTGGCTGATTTTGTATTTTTAACAGAGATGGGGTTTCACCATGTTGACCAGGTTGGTCTCGAACTTCTGACTTCAGATGATCCACCCACCTTGGCCTCCCACAGTTCTGGGATTACAGGCATGAGCCACAACAGTGTCTGGCCTCCAGCTTGAATTTAATTCTGCATTAAATTGCTGGATCCAATTGCTGGATACTCTGAACATTAAATCAAGAAAAGTTTTTCATTTATTAGACCTTTCTATAGGAAAAAAGTGCTGATTCTTCAAGTGATTAATATGATAGCAACTAGATGAAGCAAAACAACTTGTGGTATATTTCCTGAAGTTTTATTCGTTATGTTGTATTTCTTCCCTCAAACCAACAAACTGTTTTTAAACACTGAGTAATTTCTTTATGAGAAAACATAGTTAAAATTATCTTTCATTTAATATTAAATGGGGAATATTTTACATAGGCTGCCTTGTCTTCATTTCACTTTTTCTTTTTGTTTTGGAGACGGGGTCTCACTCTTTTGCCCAGGCTTGAGTGCAGTGGCACAGTCACAGTCCACGGCAGCCTCAACTTCCCATGATCAAACGATCCTCCCACCTCAGCCTCCCAAGTAGCTGGGACAACAGGCATGTACCCATGCCCAGCTATTTTTTTTTTTTAATTTTTTGTAGAGATGGGGGTCTTACTTTGTTGCCCGGGCTGGTCTCAAACTTCTGGCCTGAAGCAGTCCTCCCGCCCTGGCCTCTCAAAGTATTCGGAATTACAGGCATGAGCTACTGTACCAGGTCTTTATTGCACTGTATAGGCAAGGAAATTGTAGGATCCACCTTAATCACCACAGGAATGTCGATAGGTTGTTTTTTTTTCTTAAGCAAAATTTTGACTAGACTGTCAGTCCTATTTTTTCTTCTAAGGATGGTGGGTTCCTAACAGCTGCAGAGCTAAGGAGGAGGCCCCTGCAAGGCAGGGATTGTTATAGGTGAGATTAAAAAAAAAAAACATGGTACCATTTTTTCCATTATTCTTTTGCTAAAATAGTATGTAATATGGCAGCTGCTTGCCACATGTACTGTTAGCCTTCTGGAGAGAGGCACCACCCCGCATCAGCTTTTACAGAAGGAAATCAGCGTTCCATTATATTTTATTGTTAGCAATAGTTTAGGAATACATAGCTTTGCTTTTGCCTTTTTCTTTCCTTCCCTTTCCTTCCCCTTGCCTGAGAGAAAAGAAGGAAAAAATATTCATCTTTTCCCCCCCCTCTTTTTGGATGATAGGGCTTTGAAGACAATCTGAAATACCATATAAACTCACTTCCAGATGTTTTTTGTTTCATATGGAATTGAATTGGGCTCAGGCTGTGTTTTTAAGCTCTATGGTAAAAATATCAGTCTTCTAGTGCCTTACTGGGGACAGCGGTAGAATCGACACTGTCAGTAGGGATTGAGTCTGCTAACTTAAATTCTCCTTGATACAGGAATACAAAGTCTCCAGCTGTGAACAGAGACTCATCAGTGAAATAGAGTACAGGCTAGAAAGGTCCCCTGTGGATGAATCAGGTGATGAAGTTCAGTATGGAGATGTGCCTGTGGAAAATGGAACGGCACCATTCTTTGAGATGAAGTTGAAACATTACAAGATCTTTGAGGGAATGCCAGTAACTTTCACATGTAGAGTGGCTGGAAATCCAAAGCCAAAGGTGAGTCGGGAACATGGCTTTTTAAGAGTCATTCTCTGAAGAAAAGTTTAGCGTCCAAAACATAGCATGCCAGTACAAGGAAGAGATACAAACAATCTTTCTCAATACCCACAATATAAGGGGTTTTAAATATTCTGAAGTTCTGGGCCACCTTCAGGAGGCATAAGAAACTGAAAAAGGTGGTTGGGGGAGTGGAGTTTGAGTTTGAAGACTACAGTACAGAATAATCAACAAGGAGCCCTTCACACACCTATAGATTTATTCCTCATCGTTACTCCTAATTGCGAATAACTAGACTGAGTTCTGTGAGGTGAGCTGACTTTCCGAGGTCAGAGAGCCCGGTGAGTGGCCAGGTCTGCATATGAACCAGTGCTCTGTACCATACAGAGAAGTAACACTCACCACTGGTTGTTCCAGTCTTTAATCTACAAAACCAAGGCTGTTTATATTAAGAGAGGGAGGTGGGGTGAAGAATATTGTTTAGAATGGATAATAGAAACTTGTGATGGCATGCAGGACCAGGCTGACTGGATGGGAGCCCTCTCCATACAAACATTTGGAAATGCTGGCTAAGGAGCTGCCCTAACTTTACAGGAAGGACCAGAATAACTGTTTACTAGCCCAGCAAAGCAATAAACAGGAGTACACTTTTCCCTAGAACTTGAATGAAAAAAATATAAAAGGCAAAAAATTAGAACCCCTAAACTACACTATCACATGATAGGGAGCCAAAAGCTGAGAAATTAATGTGAAATTTAGTCCTGGATGATTAAAATTCTTAGAAGCAAGCAAACAGTTGCCTTATATAAAGGTAATAATATGTGAAGAAAGAACCATGAGGAGAGTTGTTAGGCTGTCTTTGCATTAGTACAAAGGGATTCCTAAGACTGGGTAATTTATTTTAAAAAACAAACAAACAGGTTTTATTGGCTCAGCTCTGCATGGTATACAGGAAGTGTAGTACCAGGATCTGCTCCTGGTGAGGCCTCAGGAAGCTTACAGTGATGGCAAAGGGGGAGAAGGTGACTCACGCGGCGAGAGTAGGAGCAAGAGATAGAAGTGGCGGAGGGAAGGCTCCAAACTTTTAAACAGCCAGATCTCCTGTGAACTAACTGAGTGAGAACTTATCACCAAGGGGACGGTGCTAAACTATTGATGAGGGATCTAGACCCATGATCCAATCATCTCCCCCCAGGCTCCACCTCCAACACTGGGAATCCCATTTCAGCATGAGATTTGGAGGGGACAGACATCCAAACCATATTAAGAATCAATAGCACAAGAAACAGAAAAACAGAAGGCCAAGTATTGCACAATATTGAACAATCTTAAGTAGCCTCTAAAATAACTTTAAAATGATTGAAACAATTTTTAAAAGAATGGAAACTATAATGAAAGAACAAGATAGTATCAAAAAATGCAAATTTATTATATAAGCATAGAGCAATATATTCAGCGAAATAAAAAGCTTCGTTGTGGCATAAAATGAAAGAACAGAAAGTGACAAAAAAGTAAAAGACACTTGATGCTTTTAGGTGTTAATTTCCTATAGTTCCATGCATTGTTTTGTTTTCCCATTATGCAAGTTTTACCATCATATTCTTTCTTAAGACTGAATTGCAACCCCAAAGTCAAAGATCAAAGAAAATAGCCTTGAATTTTCAAACCCTGTCTACTTCCTAATAAAATGGAATTTTTAAAGTAAACTCCATTGTTATAGAAAACTTGTTACCACATTCTTGGCATAATTTGCACAATAGCTGTGTATCCACACCATGTTATCAAATGCATGCATTAAAAATAAATTTGTAGCTTATGAATGAAATTCAACAACGAATCATATCTTGAACTTCCAAAATATTCATAAAAAGATTCTGTATTATTTTCAAACCTTACACAAGGCTTAAGATCACTGATCAAGTTCTAAGATGATTGATTCTTATAGAATACTACTTTAACTTGAAAGATGGGCTTTTGTTTTTAACATAACTGTACTTTTTTCCTAATACAAATTTAAATGTTTCACAGCTATTAGAGACTTAATCGTTTAAACTTTTTATTGTTAAATGTTCTTCATTCATCCTTCCTTTCTCTCACTCAGTCTTTATCCTGCCATCCTTTTTCTTCCCTCTGATTTATTAAAGGTCTACTTTGGCATATGCCATATAAATTACATTAGGATTGTTAAAGTATGGAATATTCATGTTTAAAGAAATACATGTTTTTTAGGCTTATGTCTTAACATATTTTATTCCTCCTTTGGCATGCTTATTCTAGTTGAGCCATAGGAAGATTGAAAATAATTTCTTATTTACCCTCTTCTCATTCTTGTGCCCTCCCAAATTTCTCCCTCCATTAGTAGGCTTGGTAAAATTTTGGAAATATTTCTTAGATCTTATTTGAAAGTTGTATGCCAAGTATAATGGAAGTCAAAAATACAATTAAAGGAAAGAAATAATTCAAGAATTGGCATTGTGGCAAGAATGCAAAAGGAAGAACTTGTATACTTATTACACCTTCTCTGTTCTATCAGAAGTAGTCAACCATGGCCAGGCATGGTGGCTTATGCCTGTAATCCCAGCATTTGGGAGGCTGAGGCAGGCAGATCACTTGAGGTCAGGACTTTGAGAACAGCCTGGGCAATATGGTGAAACTCCATCTCTACTAAAAATACAAACATTAGCTTAGCATGGTGGTGCACACCTGTAATCCCAGATACTCAGGAGGCTGAAGCAGGAGAATCACTTGAACCCAGGAGACAGAAGTTGCAATGAGCCAAGATCATACCACTGCACTCCAGCCTGGGTGACAGGGCTAGACTCCATCTAAAAAAAAAAAAAAAAAAAGAGTCAACGACTAAAAAGAGTATGATAATTATGAAGTATGATACTTTACATAATTTAATTTTTAGAGCTGAAAGTTACTAGTCCTGTCGATGATTACTTTTTAGATTCTAGAGTTTAATAATACAGTTTCTGTAAATTTGGAGCTATCTGAAAAATACGAGTTTGAAAAGTTACAGCAGTCATCATCCTGATAATTCATGCATTTATTTAGTGCTATACATTTCTAGTCTTTTCCTTTCTTAGGATGGAGGTTTCGAAAAGATTTTTCAGATTCAAATACTTTGACAGACAGTTGAATTTGAATCCCAGTTTATGTTACCAATTTATATACTGATTTACCTTAAGGAAGAAGTTTTTTAACAACAAAAGGGTCTAAAGTATATTTCTTTTGTTAGGAATCAGTTAGGAATACTTTTGGCTGCAAGGAACAAAAATGACAACAAAGAACTTGCTGTGGCTTCAAAAAGGAAAAGTTTATTTGCTTATGTAATAAATCTGGAGGTGGGTTGATGTAGCTGTTAATTCATCACCTCAGCCATGTTAGGGCTATTGGCACTGATTCATTATGATGGGCCTGTCTTTCAACTGTGTTTTCATAACTTAAAAATAATAATGAGCTTGGCTGGGCATGGTGGCTCACACCTGTAATCTTAGCTACTCTGGAGGCTGAGGCAAGAGAATCATTTGAACCTGTGAGGCGGAGTTTTCAGTGAGCCAAGATTACATCACTGCACTCCAGCCTGGGCAACAGAGCGAGACTCCGTCTCAAAAAAAAAAAATAGAACTCAGACACCCATGGACAACTGGTTTTGTTTTGGCTCAAGCCTGTAATCCCAGCACTTTGGGAGGCCGAGGCGGGTGGATCACGAGGTCAAGAGATCAAGACCATCCTGGTCAACATGGTGAAACCCCGTCTCTACTAAAAATACAAAAAATTAGCCGGGCACGGTTGTGCGTGCCTGTAATCCCAGCTACTCAGGAGGCTGAGGCAGGAGAATTGCCTGAACCCAGGAGGCGGAGGTTGCGGTGAGCCGAGATCATGCCATTGCACTCCAGCCTAGGCCTCAGCCTCCTGGGCTCAAGCAATCCTCCTGACTCTGACTCCCAAATAGCTAGGAATGTGGGCATGCACCACCACACCGAGATAGTTTATTTTTTGTCGAGAAAGGGTCTTACTGTGTTGCCCAGGCTGGTCTTGAATTCCTGGGCCTGAGCAGTCCTCCTGCCTCAGCCTCCCAAAGTGCTGGGATTACAGGCAAGAGCCACTGTACCTGGCCTACATTTAATTTTTTATCAACTCAGTTATATGTCTTAAAATTATTATACTTTTCAATACTACTGTGTTTTCTTTAACATAATGGGGAGAGGGGACAAACATTTAACCTTTGATCCTATGCTTCCTGGCCTAGAAATGAGGCAGTAGTGTTCCACCCACCACCAATCTTTAGTCATTACCTCTCTCCCTACCAACCTCTTCTATTTGTCAAACACAATTCTCTGAAGTGATCAGAGTTTGAGGTCTGCTTTTGTTCTCCAAAACAACCTTTTTACCTTTATTTTATACACAGTACATTTTAATTCCTGGTACATTTGAAAAAAGAAGCAAAAAGAAAAATGCCTATAATGCCACTTTATGGAAATAATCATTGGCAAAATTCAATATATATCCGTGCATATAAATAATATATGAATGTAAGTGCCATTTTTTAAAAAACAAAAGGAGGATATATAATTTCAAAACTCAACTAGAATTTAAATTGTTTTTTTCCATTGAAAAATCAATTTCTGATTCAGGTATTTTGTTTAAAAACATGAAAACTCAGATCCGCTCTACAAACCACACTGTTACTATTTGCAGTCCTCCAGATAGAGTAGGAGTCACAAACTCTTCGTCTTTCATCTTTGTTTCCTTTCACAGATCTACTGGTTTAAAGATGGGAAGCAGATTTCTCCAAAGAGTGATCACTACACCATTCAAAGAGATCTCGATGGGACCTGCTCCCTCCATACCACAGCCTCCACTTTAGATGATGATGGGAATTACACAGTTATGGCTGCAAACCCTCAGGTAAAGAACGGTATAGGTCTGGGCTCAGTTCTGTGTCTGGTGCTTACAGGCATTTGACTGGACAGAGGAACTTAAGTAAAAGGTGAAGTTAAGAAGTTTCTTTGATGTATGAAACTATTTTTCCAAATTCTACGCCCCTCTTGGTTTCAGAGGATAGAAAAATTCTTTGTTTCATGAATATTGATTCCATCAGGTGTTCTTCTACAGGAATGCTTCTGGTGCAGATTTCATTCCTTCCACAAATACTACTAAGGGCCTAATATGTACAAACTTCCCACGTGGTTGATGGGGGCACAGTGGTAGACTGGACAAAGTCCTATGGTAAAAAAATAAGCTATTAACAAATACACAAATAATCTAACCAGGTAGGATTGTATGAAGAACATAAAGGAGAAGAGGACAGAGAGTGAGTGGTATGCATAGGCTGTGTAAGAAAAACTCAACAAAGTAAAATACTTTAAAAGAAACCCATCAGTGGAATTTAATGTGCAAGTGTAGACAATGATAATTTTGATAGCATTCAGGTTTATCTGTTTCCATCAAAATGTTTTCTCTTGTATTTGCCTTTGGACTTAGGTTTAAAAAAAATCAGTTGCCTTCCTAGAACTTAGTAGGAGGCTGCTGGGTATCATGTTGCCAATTCAAGCCTGCAAATTCTTTTTCATTATGTTATAAATTTTAGTCACTATGCTGGATATAGGGGGTACAAAAATGAGTAAAAAGTTATTTTGTACCTTAAGAGCTCAATGTATGACAGGGTAGTTTTACTAAGTCTGCAAAAGTCATGTAAATAATACACTTTTAAAAAGAAAAAAAGGCATGGTAAAATGAACAGTTTTCTCTAGAAGTCATCTTTTTGGAATCTCTGAGCTATTTATATCATTTCATATTATTGCTTGTGAAGAAAGTATTTACCATTAGAAAGTATATAAATAATTTTAATAACACTACAAACTTTTACTTAAATTTTGTGTTGAAGGTGCGGTGGCTCATGCCTGTAATCCCAGCACTTTGGGAGGCCTAGGCAGGTGGATCGCTTGAGCCTAGGAGTTTGAGACCAGCCTGGCCAACATGGCGAAACTTGTCTCTACTAAAAATACGAAAATTAGCCAGGTGTGGTGGATGCACCTGTAATCCCAGCTACTCTGGAGGTTGAGGCACGAAAATCACTTGAACCTGGGATGCGGAGGTTTCAGTGAGCCAAGACTGCGCCACTGCACTCCAGCCTGGGTGACAGAGTGAGACCCTGTTGCTAAATAAATAAGTAAAGTTTGTTCAAGGTTTATTGTTTTCTAATATTCCATGGTCATAATAAATATACTTTTCTACAATAATATTAAGAATGAAAACAAATTATCCAGCTAATCAGGTTGTGATAGAGGACAGCAAACTCTTCACTGTTAATGAAAAGCTTCTATTTAATGCACATTCTTGAAGTTCTAAATTTTTTAATGCATACATGACCATCACCCTGAAAAGTAGTCTAAATCACAATTAAGAAGTTGTGTTTTAACATTTGTGTTCATATTTGATATATATGAAGAAACAGAAGTGGAACTTGCTTTTTTCTTTTTTTGAGACTGAGTCCAGTGGCATGATCTCGGCTCACTGCAACCTCCACCTCCTGGGTTCCAGCAGTTCTTCTGCCTTAGCCTCTCAAGTAGCTGGAACTACAGGTGTGCACCAGCATGCCTAACTGATTTTTTGTATTTTCAGTAGAGATGGGGTTTTGCCATGTTGGCCAGGCTGATCTGGAACTCCTGACCTCAGGTGATTGGCCCACCTCAGCCTCCCAAAGTGCTGGGATTACAGGTGTGAGCCGTTGTGCCCAGTCTTTTCTTTTCTTTCTTATATTTTCAGTGCATTTCCTTGACGTTAACAAATCCTAGCTTTTAGTTTAGTTTTCTGCATGTTTAAAAAAATGGTGGAGAACTAACAAAATCCAAAATTTTTCTTCATGCTGGGTCGTTTATTCCTTTTTTGCCCTAGAAAGGCTGGGATATATTATGGGATGGAGTTATCCGTGGTCCATAAGTACTTGCCAATACTGGGGCCCTGCTATTAATTTCAAGGCGTTTTTCTTAGCATGTTTTAAATTGTTACTAGAATAAGCCAATTTATAAAACAAAAGAACATAAACGTAAAACTACACTTGTGAGTCTGCTTAGTGTCTTCCTCAAATTAAAGTAATGCATTTTCCCATGTGGAAAAGGTCTTAGTAGGGAAGGACTGACCCAGTGTTCATGAACAATGCCAGTGTACAGAGTTGAAGACAGCAGGCCAGCCTCAGGGCTCAGTAGTCTCCAGTAATTTAAACTCGCGTGACAAACTGAGGAAGTCACTAAATGAAGGTGAGCTGCTGAAGAGCTGCCTTGGATCACTCCATACTACATACATAGAACATCACCTTGTACCCCACAAATGTATGTAATTATAATTTGTCATAATTAAAAATAAATGCACTGGGCATGGTATCTCATGCCTGTAATCCCAGCACTTTGCAAGGCCGAGGTTGGCGGATCGCCTGAGGTCAGGAGTTCAAGACCAGCCTGACCAACATGGAGAAACCCTGTCTCTACTAAAAATACAAAATTGGCTAGGTGTAGTGGTACATGCCTATAATCCCAGCTACTTGGGAGGCTGAGGCAGGACAATTGCTTGAACCCAGGAGGCCGAGATCACGGTGAGCCGAGACTGTGCCATTGCACTCCAGCCTGGGCAACAAGAATGAAACTCTGTCTCAAAAAAAAAAATTTTTTTTTACTTGTTTAGGGACAATGTCTTCCTCAGTCACCGAGGCTGGAGCACAGTGGCATGATCGTGGCTTGCTGTAGCCTCGAACTCAGGCTCAAGCAATCATCCCATCTCAGCCTCCCAAAGCACTGGGATTATAGGCATGAGCCACTGCCATTAGCCAAAAATGAATTTTTAGAAAATAAATGTAATCTTACCCAAAGCCCACTAGCCAAAAAAAGAAACCCTTGTAAACAGAGGGGGAAAAAGGAAGGGAAGGAAATAAGAAAGAAATGTTACTACAAATGCCAAGATTGTAGGGCAACACTGATGATACTGAAAAACCCAGGATGAGGCCGGCAGACTGTGCAGTACAGGGGTTAAGAGCATGAACTTTGGCATCAGGCAGATCTGGGCTGGAATTCTAGCTCAGCCACTCAGTACCTGTGTGACCTTAAGAAGTCACTTAATTCCTCTGTGCCTGTTTCCTCCTTTGTAAAATGAGAATAATAATAATATAGATTTAAATAGTACATATAAAAAGCATTCTGTTTACCTGGCATATAGTATGCTTTCAATAAATGCTAGTTATTGTCATTATTTTAATTCGGAGACAGTAACTACCCCATCTTTAAAGCAACCGGCCTATGACAGAAGCCTGTGGAGCCAGGATGTCAAGGATCAGTTCCGTGTCTAGGTACTCCGTTCCCACAGTACTGTCAGAAAGGAAGCAAGTTAGTTTGGGATGGGATTTCTACCCACTGTGTTGTTGGTGTGTGGTCTTCTGACCTCCTCGCCTTTCTGTTTGATCACCCCCATGGGAAGGGACTTAGGCAGAAGATGTGGCTGTGCCAGAACTGCCACAGCTGTGGGCTTGGGTGGAGGAGCTGTGAGCTAGAGGACGGCCACACCCATAGCACAGCTGACATCAGCCACACATGAAGCTGGGAAGCTGCTTTCTGCTCTCAGCACCCTCAGGGCCAAGAGAAGGCGCAAAAGAGTGGTCACTGCCCTCACTCCAGGCCCCAGTAATTCCACTGCTGAGCCCCATGGTTAACCCTCTCTGGTTCTTTGCTCTACCCTTTGGAGAGAAGACAGAAATGAGAAGTGGAGCAGGCCAGCCTTCCTAACAGAATATCCTATCCCACCTGTGATTTAAGCCAAGGGTAAAATGACTACTCTGCGTCTATCAAAAGGAACAACAAAAAAAGATTCCAAGAACCCCAGGCGTCACAGTAACCAGATCAGTTCCTGACACTACCTATTCCAACCGACTCCAAAGATCAGTTGGCACTCCCAACATCTTAATTAAGGGGTAGGGCTAAGAATCTTCTTTACCTAAATAACCCAAGACAGGCAAAAGGAAGGGAAACTCATGAAGTGAGTCAGAGTCTAGGCCTCAGTGTGTAGATGTGTATATCCCATTGAAATTGCTGTGAGAGAGTTTCTGTATTTATGCCACTTAGCAGTAGTAGTATTTGTTCCAAGTTTCTGAGCATGTTGCCCGATTGATTTTAATTACAAAAGTAAAACCCCTCTTTTCTGTCTTTTCTGTCTTCAGTAACAGGTATGTTCAAATATGGCAGATACAAGTTTTGTGAGTCATCACTTAAAAATTGGAGTGAACTTTACTACCATTAGAAAAACAAAGTGGCATTTAAACCATGACCAGTGACAGACCATTTTTCTATCTAACTCTCGGCATAAGTTACCATTTGTTGCTGCAGGGATGCCATTCTGGAAATGTTTAAGACTGTTAGACTCTCAGCTTTACAACATCGATTACCATATATTAAAGCATTTTGTTCTTATAACTTATGAATCAAAATATGACTTGAAGCAGCCATGTCATAAAAGGCAGTGGAAAAAAATTCAAAATAATCTTTCAACATACAGCAATCCCAAAGGCATAAAGTATAGTTGACAGAAAACTGACATTGACGCCTGACTTCCTTAATGCCCTCTAGTTACCTTAAATTTTGAAATTTCAAAAGTATTTGTGTTTAGGGGAAAAAAGTAATTGGGTTTGAAAGGGGAGAATACATGTATGTTTTCTAGTACACTGTAGCCCAGATGATGTGAAATGACCAAGGACAAGAGAAAGACTAGAGTGGAAAAAACAGTTCAGTAATGAAACACAGACGGCAGAGCGCTCCTGAGCAGTGGAAAATACGTACAGAAAGCAGCCAAGAGAAGGGTGAGAACCAAGGAGGGAGGAAAATATTAAAGTTCAGAATATTTTATAGAATATTGTATTTTTCCACCTGGGTCAATCTTTCGGGAATAAGAAAAACACTTGCTATTATTGACTGCATCCAAATTCTACTTGGGATAGAACAGGCCGCTCTAAACATATACTGGGCTGTTTATCACTCTCAATGTGTGCAGCTCAAGCAATTCATAAGAGACCAAAGCAATCACATAGTTTAGCAAAATAATGAGTGATTGTGCAGTTACACCAAGCAGAATGCCAAAATGAGGATCACAAATAGTTTATTTTAGACTCTAATCCTATCTTTAAGAACAGCTAAATCTAAACAGGAATATTTGACTTGTGTTGTGTTGTGTTGCTAAGTTACTTTGTATTGAACTTGGATTCTGGAATGGCTGTTTTCCAGTTTGATGTTTCCTCAAACTCCATTATGTATACAAGTGGCAAGCTTTTATAAAGACCTGTGTGCCACAAGTTAAATTTCATAAACTATGAAATATAAATGTTATTTCTCTATTATATAAATAATTGGCCTTGCACAAGATATGAAATAATCTTTACAAGCTGGAGGTCTAATACAGAATCACTTTAATAATTCAAACTTATTTGTAATATAAGCTTTAAACTCTGTGGATTTGTTTGGAATAGAAAAGGAGCACACAGCTGAGTTAAATATAAAATGTTAGTCTGTTGCTTATGTTTCGTTTTAGCATTATAAGGTTTCCTGGCTTATTTCAAGCTTCACTTTAAACATTCCCTTCCATTATTCTTATGTTAATAGTAAAGCAGATGGAAATGAGAAAATTAATAAAAGCAAATGCAACAATATTAATGTACATCAGAGCCTACTATGATTACCAGGGTTAATAGGCATATTATTATTAAATTCACTTATTAGCTGGGCGCGGTGGCTCACGCCTGTAATTCCAGCACTTTGAGAGGCTGAGGTGGGTAGATCACCTGAGGTTGGGAGTTCGAGACAAGCCTGGCCAACATGGAGAAACCCTGTCTCTACTAAAAATACAAAATTAGCTGGGTGTGGTGACACATACCTGTAATCCCAGCTACTCGGGAGGCTGAGGCAGGAGAATCACTTGAACTTGGGAGGTGGATGCTGCCGTGAGCCGAGATTGCACCACTGCACTCCAGCCTGGGCAACAAGAGTGAAACTCTGTCTCGAAAAAAAAATCACTTATTGCTAATTCTGTATGATCTGTCTCAAAAATAATATGTTCAGACTTAAAAACCTGAACTTTCTATTATGCACACTGAAGGCATCTTTTCAAAAATGCTTCACTGAACTCTGAGGGTTTTTTTCCCAAATAAAAATGACAGAATTATACAGCTTCTTAGTTTGGATGCTCTCTAAATGCTCCTGGTTATGTATTGGTTAGTAATATATTTAACCAATAACACTACATAAATCAAATGGAATTCTGCCTCCTGAAGACCACAATTCCCCCTTTCATGCTGAGAGTGAAGGTTGACATCAGAATAGAAAGATGACAAATGGTAACTACTCCTTTTTCTCAAATTTGGGAAGTTAAGGAAATATTCTGTGGCAATATTTGTATATAGCGTTCTAAGCAGAAGCAGCGAAAACCTTGAAAACAGTGTAGAAGTCTGTGACCTCCCAGAGTAGCATGCCCACCTGTTCCCCTCCCCTGCCCCATTTTTTTTGGAGAAGGGAGGAAGAGGCAGGCCAAGCATATCAAGAATCTGTTTAGAGTTGAATAAGGTGTATTTCCTCCTCCACATCAAATGCAACCGCCACACTAACAAGCACATTTGAGTATGACTGTGCTTAACACCTTTCAAGCACCAGCTAAAAAGGCTCATCTACTCCCACAGTCTGCCTCCTATGCCGAAGGTATTTTGTTTTTCCTTTGGAGTAAATTACATTATAATACCAAAAAGAAATTCCGTTACATAAACAATTCTAAAGGATGCCTCAAAACTGGTTTTAGAACTATATCCATATTGAGTGCTATAATAATGTCACATTTTGAGCACTGGCTTCATGCAAACACAGTGCTGGCAGGTGCTTTACAAATAGGAATGCCTTTAATCTTCGTGAGAACCCACTAGGTGTTAACTATATGGTCCGATTTTAGAGAAGGAATCGTAGAATGATTAAGTTACCTGCCTAAAGTCACTTGCCTGTAAGGGACGGCAGGACTGGTTTACAAATTTAGACTGATTGCAGGGCTCCTGAGTGCCACCCTGAGGTATTTGAGGCCCATCCCAAGAGGAAAGGCACTAAATGGCAGGGGAGATACTGGTGAAATATGAAGGAATTGTCAAAGGAGGTAAGAGTTTACCTCAAGTAAAGTATATTCACATGGAAATTCTTACTGGGGTCCACCAAGCCACTGGGGCTTCTAAAAACCATCTTGATGGGGATCCATGCATAATGTCTCAGACCCATGGTAACACAGGACCAGCTATGAGTAATTTAACCATGATAATTTATGATGTCACTTACCACTTGATATTTATAAGAGCATTTAGGTTACATCATTTACCACTTACAACATCCTTGTGAGAGATATACATAGCATCCCTAGTTGTACAGAAGAAGAAACAAAGGCTTGAACAAATTCAGTGATTTGCTCAAAGTTTTAGGAAAAGTCAAAACTCAAATCCAAGTTAAAAGGGCGAGTTTGTTGGACTGTTTGTAACAACCCATATCCCCTTGTCCAAATTCAAGGTTAGGTCTGAATTTAACTTACAATATATCTTTTCCTAATCATGTAAATGATTAGTTCATTTTAACTTAACTTGTGGATCCTCTGGGCTTCCTATCACAAGGAAGGATATTATGAGCATTTCATCGTAGAAGCCAGAAAGCAGATAAGGGAGCCACATTCCATATAAGTACAATTGAAGCTATTTATGTAAAACAATACACATACTTCCTTGTCCTCAACCTCCCAAAAGAATCATTAATTTTATGTGTTCATTTGTCATCTCATATGATGCAACAGTTGGGTAGTTTATGATGGGGGTCTTCTAAGCACATACAGACCTGGACAAGTTGTGAAATTTTAGATTTCAAGTTTAGGGAATCCCAAATGTTTGCCAAGAGTTTAGCAGGAGAGAATCTGTATCAAGTGGCCTGTGCTTCAGATACAGTTAATCTGAGTTAGAAATAATTCTCCTTCATAAGGTTAGACTTCATGTCTCCTTGGAAATTTTTAGGAAACATGGTGTTTTAACCGCAGCCTCAATAGCAAATACTGTGAATGCCAGAGGGAATCACATATGTAGTGGTATAAAACTAATTAGGTTTGTTTCTTTATGATGGCCTGTCTTTGATCACTGCTCATTCTTCTCCTGTCTGTATGACATTCCTGTGTTTTGTGATGACCTCTCTTTGGTCATTCCTCATTCTTCTCCTGTGTGTATGATATTCCTGTGTGTCTTTGCCTTTTCTGGGAGGTGCCAGTCCTAAAGAAGTCCAGGATTCAGGAGACCTGCAGAGCCCCACCAGTTAGAGTACTGCCCTTCACTGAAGCCCACTATGGGTGTTTTTCTCTGCATTCCCTCCACTAGTGCCCTTACCCCGATCCCCACTCCAATCTACCTGCAGTTGGAATGCAGTCATTCAAAACACACAGAACACCCCAGCTTCTGTGGCCTGTCTCTATGGGCAGCTTGCAATGAAAATGAGAGCCGATGGAAGAATTTTATTTTCAGTGTAAGGGTATGAGGGCTTCTTATCAACTCTGAGCTAGAATTAAGTCTAATCATTGATGGTACATCTGCTTCTCATTTTTCTCTTGCTGTTACCTTTGGCAGTGATCAGAATTTAGAAGCACATCTTCTCATTCTCCTGAGCGAGTGGAGGAGAAAAATCATGTATTTTGCTACTCTGCTGATAACGGTGAAAAAAAAAATTAAGAGATGGAGCTGAAACCAAAACCAGAGTAACAGTGTGTGGCTTATCCATGTCATCTGGGCGTCCTGAGTATTACTCGTCTGTTCACATATGACAGCATTTATCAGACTCTTTTTTTGCCTTTATTATTTTTAATTGACATAGTTATACATATTTATGAGGTACAGTGTGACATTTCAAAGCATGTATACAATGTGTAATGCTCAATTCATGGTAATTAGCATATCTGTCACCTCAGACATTTATCATTCGTGTTAAAAACACCCAAAATCCACTCTTCCAGCTATATGAAAATACACAATAAATTGTTGTTATAGTCACCCTACAGTGCTATGAAACACTAAAACTTATTCTTCCTATGTGCTGTAATTTTGTATCCATTAACCAACTTCTGGCTATCTCCCTGACCCCACCATCCCATCAAACTTTCAACTGACAAATTTAAGATATAAAATATAGTTTTTTATTACATAGTTTAGGTATTCAGCTCCTTCTGATTTTTAAATCTCAAATATGTTCATTTCATAAGAACATGGTTTCATTTAATCATGAAGCTCTCCTTATCATCCCACGCACACTTCTTACATAACACTCATTTTATCATGCTCACTTTAATACATGGTTTGGGGAAGGGATGCCACTAACATTAAATCAGTATATCATGTAAAAGATCTGAGACAAACATTTAAAACTGTCTAGGTTTGATTTTAGAATCGGCTACAAGTGATCAGATAGCCGCCCATGAAATGGAATCTTCACAAGACACTGGTGTCCTCCTGCTGTAGATTACAATTTAACAGCATGTGTTAAATTGTAAATGCAGGTTACAATTAATTAAACAAGGGTTGTCATTTTAAACCATCCTAGATAAAACAGTAAAGCTTATTTAAGAGTTCCAAAAACAACCTTGTCACCTGAGTAAAAATAGTTTTACTGAGGCACTTTACTCACAGGGAAAGTGTTTTTCTGAAAAGGGTTAGAGTCATTACTAACCTGGCACACTGGTTTGTTATGAAATAATGTCTTACAGAGAATAGGACAGTAGGCATAATAGTGCTTAATGGTTCATGGTTTTAAGTAGCAAATCAGTTATTTCCTGGTATTTCTACAGGGCCGCATCAGTTGTACTGGACGGCTAATGGTACAGGCTGTCAACCAAAGAGGTCGAAGTCCCCGCTCTCCCTCAGGCCATCCTCATGTCAGAAGGTATTTAAGATGTTCCCTCCCATAAGTGTTACTATTTCATTGATTAATATAAATTTAGTACTACTAAATCATCATATAACCACAAAAGTGAACATGATTGGAAGACAGAATATGAATACAAACCTGAAGTGTGTGGCTCCTTGATTGCTGTGCTCGTTTGTGATTCAGAAAGGGAATGTGAACAAACATTTGCTAATGTGTGCTAAGTCCATTCACATACACGATTAATTTGTTAAATAGGACATACTTTATAGGCAAATAAATCAAAACCCAGGACTTTTAAATGACACATGAAAATACTACTAAATGGGCCAGGCACAGTGGCTCACACCTATAATCCCAGCACTTTGGGAGGCTAGAGGTGGGCGGATCATGAGGTAAGACCATCCTGGCTAACATGGTGAAACCCCATCTCTACTACAAATACAAAAAATTAGCTGGGCGTGGTGGCACGCAGTACCACCACTCGGTGGTAGTCCGAGTACTCGGGAGGCTGAGGCAGGAGAATTGCATGAACCCAGGAGGCAGAGGTTGCAATGAGCCAAGAATGCGCCACTGCACTCCAGCCTGGGTGACAGAGCAAGACTCCATCTCAAAAAAAAAAAAAAAAAAAAAGAAAAAGAAAAAATACTACTAAATGGTACACAAATGTTGGAAACCAAACTTCTCTAACCAATAGCTGTGTGAGTTGACCATTATAAGCTATTGCCACTAGGTTTGTTAAAGTCAGCTAATTTATTAATGTTCATTTTTCAGTCACTTAGTTCAAAACATAAGACCATTAGACCACAAATCTTGTAGGTAAGAGTTGTCACATTTTAAATACTCAGGTATCTGCTAACAATAGAGATGCTTTCGATTCCTAGTGGTCCTGAGTCTATGCAAAGACACTGATGGAACAATGGTAGGCAGGGATAGAAAAAGAATATTACTTCCTAGTAACAGACTTGCACCTAAAAAACAAAATACAGTAAGTCAACCAGCCTGCCAACTTGGGTTCCTGTTTAGATATTTTATAGACAGAATATCCTTAAATAGTCCTGACCCTGGATTACAGGCCATAGATGCAAACACCTTTGGTGAAGAGAACAGATAGTTAGCTCACAGAGAATAAGCAGAAAAACAGAGTAAGCATTAAACAAGTGGTGTCTACGCCTCCTGTGTGACCAGATCCACAGAGACTTTTGTTCAGCATTTGGAAGGCCAGAGCATGTGCAGATTTTTTTTTTTCCCATTTGCATGTGCAGATTTAATTCTAACTTCATCGTGGCAATTCCTGTTCACAGGATGCTAGCCCCGTATCTTTGGGTATAAACACAACACATACAGTATTAAGTCAGTCCATTGTCTTGTATTATTCTTTGCTTTTCTTGTTGTCCACAACACATTTAAGCCTTTCCATAGATCAGTGGGTGCTAGAAAGCTTTTTCTCATAAATTAGGCTAAACTATATTAAAAAGATAATAATTATAAGCCTAATATACTTATCTTTCATTTGTTCCACTCTTGCTTTTCCTAGTTAAGTGTTTTTAAACTTATCTTCTCATGACTACCGACAGGATTTATATTCAACATCTTTTAAGTCTTCTCTGCAATTACTTTCAACTGGATTCCTCTTAAAGGTTTCTCTGGCAACCTTTAAAAGTGACAGAGATACACAGAATCTGGGAGATTTGTACAATCTCATTTTTTAAAACAAAAAGTAATACCTCTAGTCATATGGATAATTAATGCAAAAGAAAACTTGCCTAAAAATGTAATTTATTTTCCTGCTTAATATGAAAAAGAATTTTAATTAAAAATATATTGAATTTTTGTAGGGTAGTAAGAACTTTTAATTTCCTAAAAATTTAAAATCATAGTGGAAAGTTCTAGTAATTTCTGTTGAAAAAGATTTGGTAATAAATAATAGTGCTACTTTTCATAAAGTTTTAAAAATATACCCCATTTTTTTCATTTTCCCTTTTATGATTTGTAAGTAGCCTGCAATTGGCAGATAATTAAATTTATAGTAAACTTTCAAATTAAACAAGATTTTGCTTTTCTGATTTTTTAATCTGTAAATATTAGATGTAGGGATCAGATAAGGAAATCATATATTACCCCATGTATTTTAAGAAAACAGATGACTAAAATCTGGAAATAACTACTATCTATATTTCTGTCTGTCATCTTTCTTGTTTCAAGGCCTCGTTCTAGATCAAGGGACAGTGGAGATGAAAATGAGCCAATTCAGGAGCGATTCTTCAGACCTCACTTCTTGCAGGCTCCTGGAGATCTGACTGTTCAAGAAGGAAAGCTCTGCAGAATGGACTGCAAGGTAAGATTTTGTTACTGCTTGCGTATCTATTGCCTCACTTCTCCCCACTTGCCATTTCTCTATAGTTCCTTTTGGGGAAATTACATAAAGTATAAAATGAAGGCCGGGCACAGTGGCTCATGCCCGTAATCCCAGCACTATAAAGGCCAAAGCCAGGCAGATCACTTGATCCCAGGAGTTCAAGACCAGCCTGAGCAGTATAGAAAAACCTCATCTCTACCAAAAATGCAAAAATTAGCCAGGCGTGGTGGCACGCACCTATAGTCCCAGCTACTTGGGAGGCTGAGTTAGAAGGATTGCTTGAGCTCAAGGCTGCAGTGAGCCATGATGGTGCCACTGAATTCCAGCCTGGGTGAAAGAGCAAGACCCTCTCTCAAAAAATAAAATGAGTCTAGCTTAAGAGGGGAAAAAGGGAAATATGCTGGATAGGTATATATTGTTTATTATGATTCTTTTAAATCTACATTAAATATGTTCTTAACTCAGAACCCTACATGACATTCTCCAGAAAGTCATCAGGAGGTTTTATTTATCCCTTTAAATGTTAAAATAATAAATATAATAAATCTACCATGTCTTCATTCTTTTTTCGTGCAGATTTTGTATCCATATATCTACTTAGACTTTTCTTTCTCCCATTTTCTAACTCTGAGAGAAGTCAAAGTGACATCATTCTTTCATCTGTTTCATAGCAGGGCTTTTTAACCCCAGAGTCCTTGGGTAGGCACACTTCACTAGGTGTCTGCACTCTGAAATTACCTACGAAATTATGTGTGTCCATATAACTTTCATCCATTTCTCAAAGGAGTTGAAGGAAAAAATGTTTGAGAAACACTGCTCTAAAATTTTTCGTTTTCTTTTTTTGGCCCACTACTTACTGGCCTTAGATTTGGTATAACTCTTAAATATGGGTAAATTTTTAAAAGTAATTTGGGCTCCCTCTGCTGGTTCTCGATGGGATATCAGAAACATAAGCTGCTTAGAGGATTTGGGCATTGTTTCTTCAGAAAGTAAATCTAGAATTGTAGCAATGTATAAAAACAATAAATACAACAAAAATATTTTATTTCCCAGGATCATTATTTTTACAGTACAAACACACAATTTGAGTTTCAGTGTATATATATATGAGTGTGTATTTATTCATTTTTGGCCTATTAAGAATTACACAGTAGAGCTACCACATGATCCAGTAATTCAACTAGTGCTTATATATCCAAGGAAAATGAAATCAAGAGGCCAGGCGTGGTGGCTCATGCCTGTAATCCGAGTACTTTGGGAGGCTGAGGTGAGTGGATTGCCTGACCTCAGGAGTTCTAGGCCAGCCTGGCCAACATGGTGAAACCCCGTCTCTGCTAAAATACAAAAAATCAGCCAGGTGTGGTGGTGAGAGCCTGTAATCCCAGCTACTCAGGTGGCTGAGGCAAGAGAATTGCTTGAACCCAGAAGGCAGAGGTCGCAGTGAACCGAGATCGTGCCACTGCACTCCAGCCTGGGCAACAGAGTGAGACTCCATCACAAAAAAGAAAAAAGAAAATGTGAAAAATCTTGCCACATGTACAGATAGATCAGGAAAAAAAAATTGTCAGTGTATTTAAGCTTTGAAAGGGAAAAAAATCCTGAAGATAAGCCAAACATTAAAGCAGCAGCTTTTCCTCCAAAAAGCCCCCTCCCCTTTTAGCCCCTGAGGAACATTCCTAGACACTGACCATCCTTCACTGAACTAAATTTTCGGGAAAATAACTATTTCCACTCCTCTAGCAACAAGGATGCCCTTGCTTCCCCACTCTTTCCATGGGTGCCGAGAGTACAGATCTAGTCACACTGTGACCTGCTTAGGTGACCTTCAGCTCCTAAGATCATGCTTTCTTTAGCCAGGAGAACTGGGGTTAGAAGAAAGGGGCATTCTCTTTGCCCTTGCATGAATAACTATCCACTGGATAGGTTCACTGGGAATCAGGTGGTTTGAGAGTTAGGGGTGCTTTGGGCATCTCTCCTGCTGAACACACTGTGGCTTCAGTCCATAGATGGTTTTTCTAGGATCTAACCTGGTGAAGTAGGAGCAAGCAGTGCCATTTTATTTCTAGACCTGGGAACTACAAGGAGCCTAACCAAAGGCATCCACTCCCTCTTCCTCCACACCACTTGTGATGACCTCCAGACAGGGAGAGCAGGGGACAGCAGGAGGACACAGAGCCTGAGCTTCCCAGAAGCCAAGCTGCCTAACGACTGCCGTTTGTTTCCAAAACCTTTTACATCCTTTTCACCAGTCATTTCAGTTTACTTCACTTTTTTTTTTTTCTTTATATTCTGTAGCCCTTTGCTACATGTGTGGTAGGAGGCATCTGGTAGGTAGTATCAGTAAGTATCATAGAGCATGAATGGAATTGGTGAGTCCTCTGGCTGATTCTGGCAAAGCTGGTTCTTCAAAAGAAGTGTTTTACAGTCTAAGTGACATCTTTTTATATAATTTCCTACTAGTAAAGTGGGGGGTAGTGATAAAAATGCCTTCCTTAACAGTGCATTTCTGCCATTCAAAATCAAGGGCAAAACTAAAAGGCTGGCAGGTGGCAACCATGCTGACCCTCTGCGGCACAACATGTTATTAGCAATTAAGTGTTTATCTGACCTCTGGTCAACACAACTGTCAAGGTCTCAAGATTTTATGTTTCCACTATGATGGTAATTTGTTGAGATGGCTTTCTGGATAATTTCATATTGCTCTTGTTATTCAGTTTCAAGGATTATAAAATAATAGCAGCCTTATGTGCTGACAAATGCATTCTCCATAGCTATGGCTACTCCTTGATGAGAAGCTTTATAGTCTTGTATATAAATGCCAGCTCAGTATTTGTCATTATTGTTGGATATCTTTTTTTCCAAAAAGCCCAGAGCCTGGTGCTGACATCATCCCATTAATCTCTATAGCCCTGGGCAAGCTAAGACGATGACAGCAATTCTTTTCATCCCATTTCGGAGGTCCTCTCTAGGTTGCTCTGTACTTGTTTAGATGTGAGGTGGTGAGTGCTCAAGAAACCACTGAAAAGTTTTAAGCAAAAGAGTAACATGAGCTGATACTCAAAGCCATCTCTTGTACTACTGAAGGAGGAATTCATGTGAGCATCTTAGCTACCAGTGATTTCACTCCATTTTAGTAGTAGAGAAATTGACATGCATTTCTTTTTTGATTTAGGTCAGTGGGTTACCAACCCCAGATCTAAGCTGGCAACTAGATGGGAAGCCTATACGCCCTGACAGTGCTCACAAGATGTTGGTGCGTGAGAACGGGGTGCACTCTCTGATCATAGAGCCAGTCACGTCACGCGATGCCGGCATCTACACATGCATAGCTACCAACCGTGCAGGACAGAACTCATTCAGCCTGGAGCTTGTGGTTGCTGGTAGGCTAATCTGTGAATCCTTGCTCTCTGACAGAATGAACACCAGACTTACAAATGTAAACTAATTCTGCATCACTAAATATGGAAAACAAATCAAAGTACTGAAAAAATAGACTGTATCATCAAAATAGCCAATGAGGACATGTTCAAATAGCCAATGAGGATGTTCTGAGGCCTAGCAAGACAGAAACAAATCTTTCATTTATCCCACTCACCTAGCAAAGAGAGAAAAAGATTTTATTAGCTCTTCTGAGTCATTCGACCTCCTCCTGTGTGTACAGTAGCCCCCAGTGTCACATAGACAAATAGTAACAGCAGTATGGACTCCAAGAACCAAAGAATTTTCTTATATATAAAGTTATAAGCAAGTTAAACTTTTATGTAAGTTAAAAACTAGGGTGTGTGTGTGTGTGTGTGTGTGTGTGTGTGTGTATACATATCATATATATGTATATATCATTACATATATACATATATCATTACATATATACATACATATAATATGTGTATATATATACACACACATACACCTAAACTTTTATGTAAGTTAAAAATGGTGTGTGTGTACATATACACATATATATAATGTATATTATATATACATATATAAACATATAATGTATATCATCTATGTATAATATATAAACATATATAATTATATATGTATAATATATAAACACCTAATGTATATTATATATGTATAATATATACAATGTATATTATATGTATAATATATAAGCACATATATAATGCATATTATATATATTTATACACACACACACACACACCCCTAGTTTTTAAAACAACATTGTCATCTACCCTCAAAGTCATAGTCAAACTACACTCAGATTTACTTTTTCATTATTATTCTGTTAAAGTGTTGTTACATGAAGTCTTATGCTTTGAGACACCTAAAAGGAAAACATTTATGGGAAGGTTTTTATACCATCCTAGAGAGTTAGGTGTAAGTAAATATTCTGATTACCTGATCTCTTTTTTAAAAGAACATAACAAAACATAGCATTTATTTCTTACACCTCTTTTTGCAAAGTTCTTCATGTACGTCATCTATCAGTTGGCCCTCACATCAGCCTTATGAGAGAATCAGAGTAAATCTTCTCTGACTTTCCCAGGGTCCCACCTCGTAAGTTGATGATGGGATTCAAAACAATCTGTTGACTCCTAGAGCTCTTCTAATCATACTGAGTCACTGAACTCTTTCAAGAAAGAGAGCAGTGAGAATAAAACCCAGGAGGTCTTGACAAAACTCTTACATTATGATTCTAATAATGGCACTATGTCTTCACATAAAAATGTGGTAAATATGTGGGCTGTGGTGCTACAGGTTAGCCATGCTATCAAGTTTTGTACAAAGTACTCTATACTCTTACATGCTAGGATTGATTTCATTCATTCCTCTAACCTCAAACTAAAACTTCACTTTTCTGCTGTTAAATGTCTTTCGATCATATCTGTCCTTTAGGACCCAGACTGGGGGTCCAAAAGATACTTAGATAGCTCAGTATGCGTCAGTGAGCACTCCTGTCAGAAGATAGTGACGTACAGTAATTGGGAGCAGAGTCTTGGGGTCTAATCTGCTTCAGTCCCAGCTCTTGTCTGTTTTACTAGTTGTGAGACCTTTGGCAAATCGATGTCTCTGAAACTTAATTTCTCCATATGTAAAATGGGAATATGATACTTCACAGTGTTTTCCTGACGATTAAATCATAAAAGTGTGTATGAAGCTCTGCGTAACTGGTACCCCGCATAGCAGTGCCCCGAAATGGTAGATGTTATTCTTTCTGGTGTGTTGCTGTGACATTAAGACTTGTTTTATCTATTTTATGTTCTTTGCAAAACTGGGACCCCAGAGAGAATGCAAAGTGAGCTTCTGTTCCCACTTCTCCCAGAATAGCCTAGGATGGGCAACCATGTAAGATTAAGTAAAAGTCCAACCTTCAACCTAACTCATGGTGTTGAAGAATATTAAGCATTTGAAAAATTGAGGTAGAATTTTCATCCTCTTTGAGCTCTTTCCTAGCTGTTTTGCTGTGATATATCTGTCACTCCAGAGGGGGGAGCAGTGGTGGAAAAGGAATGCATTCTCAGATTCATTGTTGGTAGTTCAGAAGAAAATATGTAAACCTTATTTATTCTCTGAAGTAGTTTTTACCACTACTACAGTTGATCCAATAAAAAACAATTTCCCATTGGATGGTAATATTCAGATTGTTAACAATCAAACCTGATTTTTTTCAGAATAAGTACTAAAGTTTTCTTTTTTTAATGGGTTCCTTCCTTCAAGGTAATAATAAAGCTGTCTTTTTTATAGCCTCCTTCAAAGAATACAAATTGAAATTTGTAATTTATAGGACACACATTCCTAGTTTACAGGTAACTATTTAAAGCTGCCAAATTTAGATAAAGATGCCTTCCCTTTAAATTTCCTCCTTTAAATTCTATGCCATGTCTCACTTAAGAGTTACAAATATTCAGAATCTTCATGGCAAACATTGCAAATGGCAATGAAGGAATCTGAGTGGTCAAATTCCTAGAAATACTTGTCCTTACACCACTAGGTGGCAGTAGTTGGTTGAGGCTGTGTGTGCTGGGTAACATAATTAGTAGTGAAGCCATCACAGATGCCAGCAATGACTCAGGAGTCTCCCACAGCCGGTCAGACAGGCATTCTGTGGAGCAGATGGCCAGTGGACAGTGTGAGCCAATCAGAGTTGAATTAATTGGGAAATAAATGAGCAGAATGAAGCATACAAACCTTTGCTTGGTAAAAGAATAATTTGGAGAGGGGACTAGCATCTTAACACCTGGAGTAAAAAATGGCATCATAAAAGATCTATTGAAGCAATATTCCAAAAGGCTTCTGACTTCTTTCTAGTGCTGCTTTTGTGTATCATTGATAGAGAATTCATCTCATGTTTTCTTAGCTAAAGAAGCACACAAACCCCCTGTGTTTATTGAGAAACTGCAAAACACAGGAGTTGCTGATGGGTACCCAGTGCGGCTGGAATGTCGTGTATTGGGAGTGCCACCACCTCAGATATTTTGGAAGAAAGAAAATGAATCACTCACTCACAGCACTGACCGAGTGAGGTAAGACTATACAATGACAACCCAATCCTTAGCAAACAGTTCAGTCCTAATGATGTATCAAAAGATATATTTTATATAGCATGCAGATTTATGTGTAAAAGCCGTGCTGTTGATGAAATCACACAAAAACCATGCTTTACCCAATGTAGGATGAAGCTTTTAGAAGGAAGCTATAATGGTATTTGATCTAACGGTGATTTCTTAAAAGTGTTTATCATTCTATCTAAAGAAAAGATGAATTCATTTGCTTTAGTGGTAAAAGACTATTCAGTGATTTTTGTAAAGGCAGATCCTGAGCTAGGAATTAAGTACACAGATTTATTCCACTCTTGACATCTGTTCTTTCTCTCATTAACTTTAATGGGGCAAGTAGTCTCTACAGCATAAGTATGACCCTATTATCAGCTGCTTGCACAATTCTGTTTCTAATGATCTAATTAAAAATGATGCTTCATGTCCAAAGCAACTTTTTAAAAATGTAGAACCCTAATGGCTTTATCCTTTTCCCCAGCATGCACCAGGACAACCATGGCTACATCTGCCTGCTCATTCAGGGAGCCACAAAAGAAGATGCTGGGTGGTATACTGTTTCAGCCAAGAATGAAGCAGGGATTGTGTCCTGTACTGCCAGGCTGGACGTTTACAGTGAGTGCCACTTCATCTCATTGCGTTGCATTTACTCATTAAATTATGAAAACTTAGACATCTGGACAGCAAATCACGTTATTCTTTATAATCTTAGAAACAACTACTGTGTTTTATTTGTCAAAAAATTCATATTGCTTTCTCTCTTTCTATTTATAGTTTCTCAACATTAATAGTGAACCACACCAGGAGAACAAATACCCAAGTATCATTCAGGAACTTTGAATCATTAGCAAAATATGCATGTTGATTTCTCTTACATTGGCTAGTTAGTTGTGGCTTCCTTACTCAAGCATCCTTAGGAGTTAACAGTAGGCAAAGGCATAACCATGTTTTTCACATGTTCTTGTTACTGTGTTCTGCAAATGACTACCTTTTAACATTTCGTCCTATAATTCTATCGCAGTGTCCTAATGCACTCTAAATGTGTGTTCCATTGATCCTGGAATGCGTACTTTTGTGGCTTAGTGCTTCTCATTAATATATCTTAAGCAGCCAGCAATACACTTGTGTTGGTATATGTATATTTGTGTACATGCATCCTAAATTTAAAGAAAATTGTTCCCATGGAATTTACAGTATAGTGCAATAAGCATTATGTGATCCATTGATATTTAAAAAAACACTAGAAAAAAATTAAGAACTTATTTCAAATTTTGCTGCTTCTTGAAATAACTTTGTGAGGGTCATCAAGAAATGTGTGGCCTCAACTTTCCCTACTGTACAGTTCCTTTCAGTTGATTTATTAGTATTAAAGTATCCACATCCAGAATTCCTAAGTGCTATAATTATTGAAGAAAAAATATTCTTTTAAAAGGGGAGGGAGGATGAGAATTAGGAAGCTTATCAGCTACTCCAAAGGATTCCTTGTGCTGCAGTGTTTGCTTAAAAAAGACAAACTACACTTGACCTTTGTAATCTAGCTGCCGTATTCTCACTACCCTGTATAGACAGTAAATCTGCAACATGTGAGTAAAATGCAAAAGTGTTCCTAAATTTTCCATGTTCCTACCATGGATGTGTTCAGACTTTCACAGAGTATGTGCCTGGCATATATCTAGACATTCTGTATTTATTTGCAGTATCTAAGGGCTTTCCACGTTTATCTTGATTAAAAATCATAATTACTCTTTTTCTTTGTAGCCCAGTGGCATCAGCAGTCACAGAGCACCAAGCCAAAAAAAGTGCGGCCCTCAGCCAGTCGCTATGCAGCACTTTCGGACCAGGGACTAGACATCAAAGCAGCGTTCCAACCTGAAGCCAACCCATCTCCCCTGACACTGAATACTGCCTTGGTAGAAAGTGAGGACCTGTAATCCAGCAGTCGTCTTGTTAAAGCTGAAACACTGAAACAGCCATTGCCTTGACCAGCATATTCCTTTGTCACATTATGTAAAAGGCAGAAACATACCTTTGGCTATAAAAGAAATTATAAAAAAACACCAAAATAATATTTTTGTTACTTGATATACCAAACTTAGAGTTTAAGTAGATGATGCTAATAGAAATATACACATTGCACAGAAAATTCACATTTACTGTCCAATTTAAAACTTTGGAATTACTGTGATTAAAGTGACCTAAAATGCCAAAATACTAAAGGAAATCAGTTGTTCACAGGTAATCACAATTTGTATTAGCTACAAGTGCCTTTAAACACAAGATATAGGTGCTGTGTAGCCTGATAGTGTGAAATGTTTAATGAGGCAGTTGTACCACAAACAATACTACAGTGATTCTGAAGTGCAGTGTATTCAGACAGATACAGTGAACCAAGTGCAATACATAAGGATGAAAAAAGAAGAAATGACAAAGAAATCCAAGTAAATGCCTTGTCTTTTAGCAAATGTTTTTATATTAAATCATAAGGAAGGAACTACTTGCCTTAAATTTTAGTAATATCAAGAGTTTTCTAACAAGGTTAATACCTTAGTTCTTAATGTTTTTTTTTTCTTTATGTGTAGTGCTTTCATGCTACCTTGGTAGGAAACCATATTAAAAGGCCAATTTACAAACCATATTAAAAGGCTAATTTAAATATAAATAATATAAAGTGCTCTGAATAAAGCAGAAATGTATTACAGTTCATTCCACAAAAAGCATCCAAACCACCCAGATGACCAAGGCATATATAGTATTTGGAGGAATCATGGGTTTGCAAGGAAAAGGGAAGAGAATGAAGGAAAGTGTAACCAGCACAATTTTAGTGTGTCCATTTAGATAAAAGTAGAAGGCACAGGAGAGGTAGCAAAGGCCAGGCTATTCTTTGGTTTTCTTGAAAATTAAACACAGGTGAAAAAAACACTGCCATTCACAACTGGAGGAACCTAGGGCCAGCTGGAAGCGTGGAGCACACATGCTGTGGAGACCGTGGTGTCTGAAGTTTGTGTAGTAGTGGAAGATTGTAGGTATGTAGAGCAGGTTGAAAATGGATTGAGACTGCAAGGCGGCATAAACGGGAAACTGCCTGTAGGATCTAGTCTACTTGAAGGAAGCGGAGAGACAAGGGGAGACAAAAACAGGTTTGTGCCTTAAAGTATTTTTTCAAAGGCACCAAGATGTGGTGAGTGGAATTATTAGTTTACTTCCCTGCTGCCATGAAACCTTACCTTGAGAAGGTGCTGGATTCCAAGGTTTGTAAAGGTATCTCGGTAAAGACCGCTTTTTGAATGCATATGAATTTGCATCAGCTAGACTGAGTTGATTCTGACCAGACTTGATGGTTTTAAGTCGGAACTGTTAAATTTTAAAAAGGAGAAAAAATAATTTAACCTAGTAGTACAAAACATGAGGCTTTAATGGTACTTTGCTATGAAAAGAAAACACTGTATTCCTTACGTAAAACACATATATCTTTCATTATTTATAAGTGGCCTCTCTTAGCTCAGTTACTCAATTCATACGTAGTATTTTTAAAAATGATTTTATATCTGTGTACCACCCCGTATATTTCATATTACTGTTTCACATGTACAGCTTTCTACTTCTTTGTAAGAACACAACCAACCAAGGTTTCAGTGATTAATAGGCTTGAGCACTGGGTGGCAGATGTTCTATGCAGCGTGGTTCAAATTTCTTTGACCACACTTATATGCATTGCTAAGATGGGATTTAAGATACCATATAAAGAGTCTCTCGTGGACCTATCTCTATTGTAGAATTATGACTTATGTCTTACTTGCCAAATTTTTCTGAATGTGACTTTTTTTTGCTAATTTGCTGGGTTTGGGATTAACTAGTATTATTTTGCCACCTTTATATTGTATTTATAAAAAAAAGTACTATCATACTACTTTGGATTGTTGTGCTGGTGTAATGTGGATTTAACATCAATAAATATTTGACAAATAACAGTTGCAGTTTTGTGAAGCAAAATACTCAGTTTTAGTTTTCTATTGCTGCCATAATCAGTTAGCATAAATTTCAAGGCTTCAAACATCACTTATTTATTACTCACTGTTTTCTGTAATCAGCAGTTCAGGTAGGATGTAGCTGGCTTCTCTGTTCAGTGTCTTAGCTAAAATCATTGTATCAGCTGGACTGTATTCTCATCTGGAGCTCAAGGTCCTCTTCCAAATTCAAGTGGTTGTGGTAACTTTTTTCAATAGGAGAAGAGACATCTGATTTAGTCCAGCCAGGAGCTGCTCTCAGCTCCTAAAGGCCATCTGTATTCCTTGCCCTCTAGCCCCCTCCATCTGCAGGGTCAGCAGTGAGAATCTCCTTCACCTCAGATCCCTCTCACACTTGCTCTTTCGTCAGAGGCTCTGTCCCTTTTAAATTACATCAGGTCCATCCAGATAATCTCCCTTTCTTAAAGTCCCCAGACTTTGGGAACCTTAATTACATCTGCAAGTCCCTTCAAAGCAGCAGCTAGATTCACATTTGATTGGATAATTGAGAGGAGGTGTGTATACACCAGAGGATGGGGATATTGGGGGCCATCTTAGAATTCTGCCTGCCATAGCAACGTACTGTAGGTATGCATGTAAATATATGCCAGTGCCGTGGCGCACAAGGATAAAGTACAGCAAGATGGTATAAATTAAAAGTGAGAGGGGAAGGGAAGGAAGTAAGAATATAATAAATGGAACAAAATAAAATTATACACACACCCATATTCATGTATACATATAGCATTAATAATATCTAGATAGTTACAGCAGATGGATAACATACTTGGGCCTAGGCTTTCCTGCTACAGGAAAGAGAAAGCTGGTCATTTATGTAATTCACAGCCTCCATAAAGTAAAGACATTTTATCTTTTACATAAGCAATCTAATGGAGCTTTGGGGATACCTTTGAATTAGACTAGAATCATCTATTTCACATTGTCTTCTATACCCCATGACTTGCTACGTACCTTACAAGATTCATTATATATTTTAATGCTGAATTTGTCCTTGACGTTCCCTTTTATGAACATCTATAATGTGAAAATCCTCTTGGTTTGCTCAGAAGCTAGAACCTGTATCATAACATCAATTTAGTCTGACTCCTTTAAATTACGGAAATATGACTTCTATATTATGGTGCTAAGGAACTTGAGTGTTGGAGTTGGCCAGCCAGGATTTGAATCCTAGCTCTTTTCATCATGTGTGACCCATAAGCAAATTACTTTACCTCCCCAAGCCTCGATTTCCTTATTTGAAAAACAGAGATTAAAATGGCACCCCCTCTTTGTGCTGCTGTGATGATTATAGGGGATGATAATGTTGACCTGGTACCAGCACACAGTAAGAGGTCAATAAATTTCAGCTATTATTTTAGTGTAGTTGGAAACTAAAGTAAAATCATTTCAATTACAAAATGTGCATACCCAACAAAATTGTGCAGATGGTTAAAATTTGTGAACTTGGATGGAAAAAAAATTAGTAACGCCCAGCTGAAATTTAGAATTTCACTCGATTATGAATGTAGGCAACAAAACACAACAGTATAAAATACCTGGGACTTTCCTGGTATAAATTATGTCACAAATACTGAAATATCTTAAAATCTGTGTAAATTCAGCATTACCTCAAAATTATGGCAGAGTTACTAATAGATGTTGTAATTTAGAGGTATCTGTATTATTGTGTTTGGTTTTTAATACTTTAATCAATACTTAATTTGTTTCTTCTGTATTTTATGCCTACATGAACATTATTTTGAGAAGGGATCCAGAAGATTTAAGAAGGTCAAAAAAGCATATGGCACAAAAATTAAGAACCAGGACCTACAGAAACTTAAATATGTAGAAAAGGATTAAAAATTTGAGGAAAGCCTAATTTCCTTTTGTTTTATTCCTAGAAGGAGCAAAACGGATTAAATTATGCAACAAAATATTACTTACTATTCAGAGTTAAAGAAATGAATTTGGCTGGGTGGCTTGCACCTGTAATCCTAGCACTTTGGGAGGCTGAGGTGGGTGGATCACGTGAGGTCAGGAGTTTGAGACCAACCTGCCCAACATGGCGAAACCTCATCTCTTTAAAAAAAAAAAAATACAATAGAAATGGATTTACTTCTATCAGCATGGATAAATATGAAAAACAGCATTTGACGAGGAAAGGAAGTTACATAAGAGTGATGTCAGCAAGATGGCTAACAAGAGATTCCTGGCATTCATCCCCCCAAGAAAGGACCAGGAAATGAACAGTTAACATTCAACAGAAGCGTCAAAGGAAGAGCACTGGAGTGCAAGTAGGGGAGTGGAGAGGTACCTGCAGTCACTCAAAAGTCCAGAAGGCAGCATGGAGACACCTTGTCTCTGCTGCCCCATACTCCTGCACCCCCAACCCTGACTTGCCTGAAGTCAGGAGGAGAAACTTTCCTTTGATGGGAAAAGGTAAGCAGAGCCCCATCAGCCCCCGTTACCACTGCAAACACCTACAATCCTTACTACAAGAGAATTCCACAGTCCTCACAAGCCCTGAACCGACTTAGAGACTTGCTGTGGATTCACATTGCTGCATTCCTCTGGATTAGAAACATGAGATATGTACTCCCACCCCTCAGGGGCCTGCTCTGGGGCCCAGTAGCAAATGCACCTCTCCAGCAGCTCTGTGATCCCACCAAACCCACATGGGTGGCTGCAGTGCCACAACCCTGGCTACTCAGAACCTGGGCCCAGGATTGGCTGTGACTCTGATCAGGCACAGCAGGGAAACCAACCATCACTGCCTATACTTCCAGCCAGAGAAACAGTCTGGCAATTCTCCCAAAACATACATACCTACCCTTGAGCTGGCCATACTGGGCCCCTGAGCCGCTGAGCACCTGACATGCCCTCAGGCCAGTAGAGCAACTACCTACCTATCTTCTAAGCCTGAGAAATAGCCCAACACCCGCTACCTCCATAGACATGCCCCCAGGCCTACCCAGTGGACCTGTGCCCAAGCTAGGGCATAAGAAACAGTCCAGTGGGCCCAATCCCAGCATACATGCCCCTAGACCTTCCCAGCAGCCCTGTGCCCATGCCCAGGGCCTGAGAAACAGCTTGGCAGACTCACTTCCAGTAGACACAACCCTGGGCCAGCTGAGCAGTCACATGATCATGCCTAGGGCCTAAGAAAGAGCCCCATGAGCTCAACCCCCATGGACACAACCCCTGGCTGGCTGAGAGGCACACCACTGTCCCAAGCACAAGAAACAGCCCAGTTGGCCCACCTCTGACAGACACACCCCCAAGCCAACTTAACATGCCTGCACCCAGGGCCTGAGAAACATCCCTGTGGCCCCAATCCCAGCAAGCAAGACCCCAAGTTGGTTGATACTGTGCACACACATGCCCCCAATTTGAGAAACAGTCCAGTGCATCCACCCCAGCAAAGCTGGACCATCACTGCTACAAATCCTCACAGCCTAGGCCACTGGGCCCTTACAAACATCAGTAGAGTGGGTCACAGCTAAGGAATCTGCACAGACACTACAGTACTGTATCCACCTAGAACCAAAGCCAACCTACCCCACCTAACCAACACTCTAAGATCCCCCATACAAATAAGTCTTTCCCTACAAAACCTTCCAGCAAATTGGAAGAGGTGACTGTTCTACCAGATGCATATAAATAACGTCAAGGAACACATCAAACATGAAAAAGCAAGAAAGCATATACCTCCAAAAGAACACAATCATGCTCCAGTAATATACCCTAATCATAAGGAAATATATGAAAAGCCATAAAAGAATTGAAAAGAATAATTTTAAGGAAGCACAGTGAGATAAAAAGAATATAGCTAAACAGGTCAATGAAATCAGGAAAATCATGATTTGAATGAGAAATTCAACAGAGATGGCATTTTAAAAAAACGAACAGAAACCTTAGAGTTGAAGAATGCAATGAATAAAATTTAAAAATGCAATCAAGAGCTTCAACAACAAATTAGACAAAGCAGGGGAAAGAATTTCTGAACTTGGAGGTAGGCCTTTTGAAATAACTCATGCAGGCAAAAATAAATAAATAAATAAATAACACTTACAGAATGAATGGGACACTGTTAAATGAACAAATATTTGCATTTTGGAATTCCAGATGGAGAAGAGAAGAAAAAAGGCATAGAAAACATATTTAATGAAATAATAGCAAAAGAAAATCCCCAAGTTTTGGGAAAGAGATGAACATCCAGAGCTAAGAAGCTTAAAGTCCCCAAAAAGATTCAACCCAAACAGGTCCTCTCTGAGGCATATTATAGTGAAACTGTCAAAAGTCAAATACAAGGAATTCTAAAAACAGCAAGAGAAAAATGTCAAGTCACATACAAAGGAATACCCACTAGGCCAACAGAAGATATCGTAGCAGAAACCTTATAGGCTGGGGGTGGGGGGAAGGAATAATATTTTCAATATACTAAAAGAAAAATCCTGCCAGTAAACAACATTGCTTTAATATTCTTTATCAAATATAAGCAAAGCTATTCCTCAGAAATGAAGAAAAATAAAGGCTTTTTCAGATAAGCAAAAACTAAGGGAAGACTAGACTAGCCCTATAAAAAACACTCAAGAGTTTTAGACCTGGGAGTGAAAGACACTAACCACCATGATGAAAACAAATGAAGTTATAAATCACTGGTAGAGCTGATACATGAAAGAGAAAGGAATCCAACCTTATCACTACAGAAAACCACTAAGCCACAAAAATAAACAATAAGGAGGATTAAAGAACAAGGAATATACAACCAGAAAACCATCAATAAAATGACAGGAGTTAAGTCCTCACCTACCAAAAAATAACCTTGAATGTAAACAAATTAAATTCCCCAATTAAAAGAGATTGAATGAATGAATTTTTTTAAAAAAACGTGCAACTATATGCTGCCAAATAAAAACCCACCTCACCTGTAAAAGACACACGAAGACTGAAAGTGAAGGG